ATGTGGAGGCAAGGGTTCTTTCCCGTCTCCCTTCGCTCGTGGAGACCGCGGCTCGTTCCTAGCCCGCTGGTCGCGCTGCCATCAAGCCATCCTGCCCAGCGCGGCCCAGCCTTTGTGCAGAAAACCCCAACCTGATCCCCGGCTAGGTCAGCGCAATCGCTGAGACTCCATCGCCTCAGGTCGACTGTTTCCCACAAGGCCCATTGAGACCCTTGCCGCACTACCAAGGTCCGGAATGGGTACTCAGACTCATTCACCCCTGTGAGCGCGTCCTCGAATGGCCATTTTCCCACATAGCAATGACCCCCATGGCACTCTCTCCACCCGCCAGTTGGGACCCCATCAAGAAACTTGCACGTTTCTGGGCTCACCTCTCTAGGTAGTCATCGTTCCAAGCAAAACCGAGGCCGCGGCGAGGGTTGAAAGCAACCCATAGCCAGCGCGCCTGGTCCTCGCTCCAAGAGTGCGCGCGCAAGTGCGACACCCCTGCAAATCTCGAACAACAGCTCGTTCCGTTGCCCCACAGAGCTGGCAAGCGGAAGGGCTAGATGCGATCCCAACGCCGCATTCCTGGCATACCTTCCCTTCACTGGGCGAAGTCAGATGCGAGTCCATCATGCCACACTCGCAGACCGTAACTTCGGCCAACCCTGGGCGCACCTCCGCAACAGGACGCCCCGCCTCTAGCGTGACTTCCTCATCCTGCGCTGTAACCAGCACCATGCCGCTAACGGCTCCGGAGTCCCATATTCCTGGGACCGCTTCAACCGGCCCTTCAATTGGCAGAACTCCTTCACACAAGGAGCCGTCAATGACCTGGGCAAAATCCCGGGTTAGCGGCACCAAGGCACCATCTCCAGGAGCTAGGACGACTGGCTCTTCTCCTGCAAAGTGCAGGAGCTGACGTTGGTCGCCCCCTGTCTCAAACCCCTCAGGTCCGTCGAGACTCGACAGAACGGAATGGAAGGCATAAGCCCGATCCTTGCGCTGCCTGCTCAGATCTTCGCATCGCGGGATCTTGATGCCCAAAGTGTCTAGGATATGAGCATCAGGGCCTGGTCTAAAGCCCAAGCCAGACTTAGCTTCGCAATCCAAGGCTCGACCCCCTAAAATAAGGCCATGCCAGTCTGACGTGCCTCAAGCTGCCACCTTACACCGGACTAGGATCTCAGGACCATCCTTAGTCCTTTCAGGCTGCTCGCCTTCCAAAAACCGAACTCGGATCACCACAGCGCCTTTCAAAGGCACTGGAGCTCCTGAAGCTATTCCATGAACGTACTCCGGATACGTCCACTTTTCAAAACGAACCACCGGAAAGCGCTTGTCGTTCGGTGCGATGTTCAACTCTGCTGCCCGGTTCAACATTCCAACCACCAGTTCTTCGGTCAGATGATTGGAGCCCGCGCAGCCATCTAGCATTGTCTCCACCTTTTTGTCTAAGACTCGAACAACTGTTTTGTATTGGTATCCACCTGGTTCGTTCTCGGCCAAGTGGAACCAATCCTTGGGCAAATCATCAAGTGAAGTGAACCGCGACTTCCCGTCCGCAGGATTCGAAGGCTGCTCCAAACTGAGCACTTGGGGCGGCTGAGTCGCGGCGCCGCTCTCGAAACGAGAAACAGCCCCCGCGGACCCTACCACACCTCCGATCACAACTGAAAACGCGGCGAACGGGTTGTTCATCGCTGCGCCTGAAGGAGCGCTCCACCCCGTAGGCAAGCTAGAACTACCCCCCGTTCCTTGGCTACCTCCGCCTTTCCCTCCTCCAGTGACTGGCAAGGAGTGGACCATGTCACACTGAGCCCCCTTCTTGCACGCGCCATTCTTCTGGAAGAACGGGCAAAGCGTACCTTGAGGTTTCGGTCCCTTCCCTTGACCCTTGCCCTTCCCGGCGCCCTTTTCCTTTCCCTTCTGCTTCCCCTTTTGCCCCTTAGCCGCGAAGGTCTGGTCCGGCTTCTCCCCCTTACCTCCGCTGGCCTTCATGGCCGCAAGGACCTTTTTTCTTAGCTCCTTGTCATGTGACCATGGGCAGGAACTGCCTTTCGGACAGTTCCCGTGGTCTCTGAAGTGGAAGCAGATCTTTTCTTGCTTGGTCGCCAGGACGCTCTGTGAACCTGAAGCAGCACCAGCAGCGGCAGCCGCCTTAGCTGCAGCCGCGGCCGCAGCAGCCTTGCTTGCTTCTTGCTTTGCCTTTTTTGCATCTTTCTTCGAGAGTCCACCGCCCACTTCATCTCCATACGAGTAGACGGCGTTGGCAGTTGCTCTGTGAGTTGCTTCTCGTTGTTCAAACTCCAGAACAACCCTATGCACGTCTGAGGGCTCCTAAGCAGCGCTTCGCCCTTCCAGAGCCTCTTATCTCCTCTGATCTCTTTCTGCAGATGCATCGGCATCTTCCGCAGGTAGGACAAGTAGAGCTCACGTGGGGTCTTCCCCAAGCCAATCGACTCCAGCTCCGACACGCTAGCTTCGAAAAGCGGTTCGAACTGGTGAGCGCTCATCCGCCCTTTGTTCAGCAAGGCGTGCTCATTGTCGATTCGGACCTCCTTCTCTTCCTTGCTCTCGGCAAACACCAGGTGCTTTTCCTTGATCCGGTTATAGACCTTTTCTGGGTTTTCCAGAATTTCTCCACTCTTCCACGCTGAGCGGTAGATGTTGGTGTAGGTCTTCAGCCTACTTCCTTTGCACCTGCCACGTAGAGCTATGAGCTGTTCTCTGTAGCTCATGCCCTTACAGTTGTTTGCCAGCGAGCAGCAGTCTTCGAACTCCTCGTAGAACTGCACTACATCTCTGGCTTCTGACCGATCATCAGTCAGCGTTGGCCAATTGACATCAGTCTTCACCGATGTCAAGCTGGTCTGTTGTGACTTACCAGTTAAGGCAGCCTCAAGGGCCCTCGTCTGAGCTTCCAAGGCCGCAGCGAGGTCCTTGTGCCCGTCGGATGCTTCCGATCCGTGACGAAGCGCCTCCAATTCCATCTCCAGCGCGGCCACTTTTGCCCGCAACGGAGAATCACCTCCAAGATCCTTTGGACCCATTCGCTCCCGGCTCATATCTCCTAAGGAGATCGGCCGCGGAGGCGTCCCTCCCGCAGGCCGGTCTTCGTCCTGCGAGGGGGTGCTGAACAGCTTACCGCTCTGAGTGCTCTCTTTTCCACCCAGCTGCATGATCAGCTCACCAATAGCCGACACGTGCTCCGTGATGTTCTCAGCTGGCATTTCCGTGCCGACGGCTGCAGTGGTGAACTTCTCTCTCAAGTACCGCACCATTCCACGGACATCCCAACGATCACCAACTCTCTCATAGGCCTCCTGGACCAGCTCTGCCTTCAAGCTGACCCTGGCCAGGTCAGTGATCGACACTTCGTGGCCTAACGTCTTTAAAGCCAAAACAAGACGAGTGATCCGCGTCAAGTACTCGGACATATCTTCATCTTGTGGCCGGTACAACGCCTTGAGCTGCTTCAACAACTCTTCTACTTCTGCGGCGCCTGTGCCCACGGATGATGATCTGGGACTGTCTCTCCCCCCCAGGCCAACACCCGGCTTTACTACAGGAACCAGGGCTCGCGACGGGCTTCCCGAAGCCGGTCGTGCCCCGTCAGCCACTAACTCAGAAGAAGACTCCTCCTCCGGGTCCTCCTCCTCATCATTGAGACCTTCGGCCCTGTCATCGCCGTAGAGGTCTGCCATAGTAGCCCTCCACAAGGCCACTTCCTCAACAGTCGTCGTTCCTCTCCCGTCTCGTCTTCGCGTAGGACGTTTACCTTCAACCTTTCTCCAGGCTTGCCACTTGAAGAAACCATCTCTTCAGGGACCGGGACCCGTCCGTCTGCGATACATTCCCCTAGAGTGACTCCTTCAGGCTGATCGGCAACTTCTTTGCTCATGTCTCTTTCTACCGCGGCGGAGCTGCGAATCGCAAGCTTCCGCCCGCGATCCCAGTCCGCGTCCCAGGTGCGAACCGCAACCTAGGGACCGCAAGGGCTCTCCCAAAACAAGGAGATACTTCCCAGAACAGCCCCCAATTGTGAGCGACGCGAACGGTCTTGACCGCGTCGACGGTCAAACGCGCACGCGCAGCTGTTTATCGCTCACGAGTTCAGTCCGAGCGGTCGTTCACGCGGTGAAACAGAGCTAAGCGGCTACCTACAGCTACCTACCGAGCTCAACCTCAAACCATTCAGCGGCTTGAGCCAAAAGTGAAACACATGCAACTACTAGAGGGCTACGCATGCTTCTATCCACAGAGCCCCTAGTAGTGTTCTTGCTCCTAGTAGTAAGGCCTCCTAGTAGTAAGGCCAGGAGCCCCTAGTAGTGTTCTTGCTCCTAGTAGTAAGGCCAGGAGTCCCTAGTAGTGTCCTTGCTCCCAGTAGCAAGGCCAGGAGCCCCTAGCAGCGTCCTTGCTCCTAGTAGCGATGCCAGGAGCCCCTAGTAGTGTTCTTGCTCCTAGTAGCAAGGCCAGGAGCCCCTAGTAGCGTCCTTGCTCCTAGTAGTAAGGCCAGGAGCCCCTAGTAGCATCCTTGCTCCTAGTAGTCTTGCTCCTAGTAGTAAGGCCAGGAGTGCCTAGTAGTGTCCTTGCTCCTAGTAGTAAGCCCTTGCTCCTAGTAGTAAGGCCAGGAGCCCCTAGTACTGTTCTTGCTCCAGGAGCCCCTAGTAGTGTTCTTGCTCCCCTAGTAGTGTTCTTGCTCCTAGTAGTAAGGCCAGGCGCCCCTAGTAGTGTCCTTGCTCCTAGTAGCAAGGCCAGGAGCCCCTAGAGTGTTCTTGCTCCTAGTAGTAAGGCCAGGAGCCCCTAGTAGTGTTCTTGCTCCTAGTAGTAAGGGCAGGAGCCCCTAGTAGTGTTCTTGCTCCTGGTAGTAAGGCCAGGAGCCCCTAGTAGTGTTCTTGCTCCCAGTAGTAAGGCCAGGAGCCCCTAGTAGTGTTCTTGCTCCTAGTAGCATGTTTGCCTCCTTACTCAATTAAGTAGGAGCTGGCCGTGGGGGCCATGAAGATCGGCGTGCTGAGGGTCGTGGTGATGTGAACGAACAGCTGGATAGGCGGCGCGGGCAGTACCGGGCGACAGGGGCCGCGGAGGGGACTCTTGGGAAGGCGCCAAGGGTAGTAGAGTTTGTTGTATTTTTTTGTTTTGGTTGCTACAGCATTTTGAGCCATAGCCACATCGATGCTGGTCAACTTTGGCTTGTTGCGGTGTTGCGGGGTCTCAAACTTCCTGCCAGGAACCTTTGTACAATGCCCTTCTCTTGTGCCTGCTTGAATTAGAAGCTTGAGGCCAAGTAATTCTGGACTGCACCCTGCATTGGCAGCAGCTCCAAAGCACACACAGGAACCTTTTTTACACTGGACAAAACGCCGCAATACAGCGTGGCGTGTCACAGCACCACCGGCACCCTGTCTCCACCACGCGCACACCCAGCACCCAGCAACGGCACCCAGCACCGGCACCGTGTCTCCGCCACGCGCACAGCCAGCTCACAGCATCCAGCACCAGCACCACAGCCAGCACCAGTACCCAGCACCGGCACCCTGTCTCAAAAGCGCACACAACCAGCTCATTGTTATTTGAAGTAAGAACCCCATAGCTGTCGCTGTCTGGGGAAACATCTTTTGCATGTTTTTGCTATTTGGGGTGTATGCTGGTGTAACTTGTTTTGCCAAGTGAGCTACAGCACAAACCACCAAACGGATGATTTAGTGGGGATATCCAGTATGACGTTTTAAGGCATTTTCTACCAGGTTTTGACCGTAGCTAAAGTAATCAGGAATCCAATATCCTTTTTGACACCAACAGACAATTCTGGCAGGTTTATCAAAGAATGCCAAGCCAGCGGCTGGAGTGGCTGGGCTGCCGGGCTGCCAAGACTACAGAGTGTTTGATAGGCCAAGAGACTTTAGAGACAAGTGCGAGGTGTCCTTGGTTTGTCACAGTATCAGTACTCCATGATACTCCATGATACTCCATGTACATTCCAATTTGACCCAACAGTGTAGTCGTTTGTCGCATCTGCATGGACATATCCCCCTATGAAGTTAGAGTCAGAGTTATATATCGTCAGCTTGTTTGTGAAGTTGTGTTTGAACTCTCCTTGTTGGACACGTTGGCTCTCCAAGAAGGAGAGTCCAGTTGGTTCCCCGTTTTCGCTGAGAAGTAAAGCGCCTCTTCACACAGGCCTCACAGCTTTGGTGACCTGACGGTTGCTGGCCTCTTTGACGGTAACTAGTAACGATGCCCTTTGTTACTAGTAGCATTCTTGTTCCTAGTAGTAAGGCCAAGAGCCCCTAGTAGCGTCCTTGCTCCGTTCGTAGCGATGCCCTTCTTGTTTGCAAGAGTCGCTGTTTGAAGACAGCTATCCATTTGGACTTCTTTGTGCCAGGAGCCCGCTAGAAATGGTGGCGCCAGATTCTCATTCGGGGGCCTTGCAAGGAGCACTTCCGAGCTTTGCGCGAAGGAAATAGTTTGACAAACTTTCGAGGATCCCTCAAGAGCTTGCTCGTCCGGTCAGGGGATTGTTTTGTGCACTTCGAGACCCAAACCCATCGTTCGAAGGCACGTTTGGAATCGTGCTGTCGTACGTCCTTCTGGCCTGGAGTGGTGCAAGCAACTAACTGGTTAACATGCTGGGACATATTGAAGGAGGGCCACTAGAAGAGCCAAATACATTCCATTCTGGATTCTTTTGAGACTATTTAAGTTCTGGTGTCTACTGGAGTCGAGCAGTCGACTTGTTCCGTGGCCTGCGATGGGCGACAGCATCGTCCGACTCTTGGATGGCATCCACTGTTCCAGCCCACTTCCCCACTGTGATTAAGGTGGATGATGGATTAATGTGGGTGAAAGTCTTTTTTCTTTTGCTGTTTTTACTTGTTCTTTGTTGGAAGTGGTATGTAAATGGATGGTGAGCTTTGCGCCCGCTTGCAATCTAATTATCCAGATCAGAGCCAGGTTTGAGCCATCCAGGTATCCAAGGGTCTCATGTTCAGCCATGCTTGGGTGTCTGGGTAGCCACTCCTGTCTTTAGGTGAAGCGCCCCATCAGCACTGCCAGCAGTTCCTTTGATCCAAACAAGAGGCGGCACTGAGTTTGCGCTACCGTTTTCTGCGGGAGACGCATCAAAACAAAATAAAAATGCATCAACAAATAAAAAACATGCATCAACATAAACATAAAAAATGCATCAAACAAAAACATAGAAAGAAACGAGCAAAGGAAGAAAGGAAGGAAGGAAGGAACGAAGCAAGAAAGGAAGCAAGAAAGGAAGGAACGAAGCAAGAAAGGAAGAGGAAGGAAGGAAGGAAGGAAGGAAGGAAGGAAGGAAGGAAGGAAGGAAGGAAGGAAGGGAGGAAGGAAGGAAGGAAGGAAGGAAGGAAGGAAGGAAGGAAGGAAGGAAGGCTGTGACATTGAAATGCGATGTTGCAAAACTTTGCCCAGACGCCCAGCGCAGAGATCATTGCAGTACCAAAGGAAGATTCATTGGGGAAACTCCATGATATCTGTTTTTTGGTCGTGCCAAGTTACATTGCTGGGGAGGCGCTGCGCCCTCCCCCGCGCCCCCTCCCGCCTTTAATTGTTGAGCGTTTTCATTTCATTCATTTCACTCGTTCATTGACTCATTCATTCTTTCTTCCTTCCTTCTTTCATTTTCATTTTCGCTTTCATTTCACGTGATTTTCCTTTTTGTTTGCTTTTATTCTTTTGATCACTGCTTCGATTGGAATATTGCTCTTCTCTCTGCACGTTTGGGTCCGTTTATTTTTTGTTTTTTCTTGATCACACTGAAATATAAACATGTTTCAGGTCTGGCAGGCTTGGGTGAACATGTATTCATTACTGCCATAGGTTTGAACCAACGAATGTTTTGGCTCAAGTGACTTGGCCAAAATAGCGTTTGTTCTCTCTTTTTGAGGGCGGAACCCTTGGAGAGACAGTTCTTTTTTTTGTGCAGGGAGGGACCCTGTTTTCCCATGAGCGAGTTGGGAACAAGCCTTGCTGCCTACACCAGGTACCAGGTGATCCATGCCGCCGCGTGGATGGAGTTCAGCGCTCACCTTCAGGAGCTGGTTGCTGAGGGGCGCGAGCGGGAAGCTTTGCGCCTCTGGGCCTCCGTGGTGGAGTTGGTGCATCTGGGGTCTCCAGGGCAACCCCTCTCCATCGCTGGGTTCCCCCCGGTTCGTCGGTTCGTATGTACCACCATTCCGTGTGCAAGGCGCACCGACCGTCGGGGCGGCTTCCAGTTCCCATGGGTGGGCGTATGGAACCGCCGCTGCTTGCTGGTTCAAGAGGGACTTGGGCCAGCGGTCGCGTGGCAGCGCTACCATGCCTCTGCGGCGCGCTTGGACCGCCTGGCGCTGCAGTGGATTGCCTTTGACCTGGGCCCGTTGGACATCTTGCCGGTCCACGTTGGTTTGGCCGTGGAGCGGCTGGACGACGGGGACGATGGCATCGACACCGAGGAGTTCTTCGAGCTGGTTCGGCTTTGGCAGCAGGGGAGGCGGCCATGGCGGGAACCATGGTCGTCCCTGGTTGGGACCCCAGGTATTCCCCGGGAAGTCGCGAATGCAGGCCGATCCATCCGTGCGATCCTGGGGGCCGTGGCCTATGACGTTGAGTACATCCCCCCCCTCTGCCTCCTTTGTCGCCTGCCCACGTTCGAGTCCTGTCGAGTCTGTCGATCGATCGTTTGTGAAAGCTGCAACTTCTGGTCACGGCAGTGCCCGTTGTGCATCGACAGTTCTGGCTCAGACTAGTGCGATAGTCCTTGCAGGGCTCATGGCTGACAGGGGGCGCTATGCGGTCGAGTCAGCGGGGAGCTCCAGGTGGGACCCGGAGACCTCGTCTGAAGTGGCCCAAGCCGCCCGTGTTCGCGAGTTCAGGGAGCAATACCACCTCTTGGACGACGCGGACTTCGCCTTTGCCTTTCGGTCAGCGGAAGAGGCCTTGTTGGCCGGGGGCCGGGGATTGGCCGATGCTTGGACCAAGGCCCGCTCCGAGCAGACTGAGGAGCTGATGCCGTTGGCGGCCTCTACAGTGGAAGCTGGTTCGAGTCGCGACAGGCCGGCGCATGCTCTTCACCTACCCGCTCCTCCAGTGCCTGTTCGGAAGGGAGTGACCCTTTCTCAACAAGCTTTCAGTGCTGACAGTGTGAACAGGCGAGTGGAAGCGCTGGCCCAGGTGTTTGAGGACGCCGGGATTCATCGCCCTTCCGTGGGGAACCTCTCAGATGCGATCCTAGCGGAGTGGAGACTGCAACTCACTCGATTGGCGCAGGTCAAAGTGACCAAATCGGAACCTCAGACAGTGGTGAACGCTGTGCGCACGTGGTCGGAATTGGTCAGCTTTATGCGTTCTCGAGATAGGACTACGATCGAGCATTTGGATTTGGCGTCATTCCTGGCCTCCGGCTCCAAAGGACCTAAGCGAGCATTGAACTCGCTTCGCTGGTTGAATAAACTGGGGCATTTGGGGTGGCAGTTGGATGCGATCGTGCTGGATCCACCTGCCTCACGGCGGGCAGCTGCGCGATCCCAGGCTCTCGTTGTCGAGCCGCCCATGCTCACCCACTTGGAGCGTGGCATCAAGGAAGCCTTCACCCGACAGGACCCTCGCTGGACTGCGATGCTGGGAAGTTGGATCGTTGGCGTAGGGGTACTACGCTACCGGCATGTCCAACGTGCTCAGATGGTGCGATTGTCCCGCTCAACGATGTACTGCCATTGCCCCAAAGGGAAGCAGGCGAGCAAACGTGATGGCTTCGACTTCTCCATCCCTTCGCAGTTCACAGATGGCTGGCCCTGGGCAGAGCATGTGGTGGCCCTTCGGAACCAGTTGCCCGAGGCCCAACGAGATGAAGGCGGCCTCTGCTTCAATCGGGAAGGCCGCGCGTGGGACATTTCTGAGGTGCAAGCCGCAGGTCGTGAGCTGTTCCAGGACCTTGTGACCGACGTGGCCGACCTCTCCACCTAGTCGTGGCGCCGGCTCATGCCCACGGTGGCGTTGCTGGCCAAGTACACCCCGGTTGAGATGGTGGCCTTGGGGGATTGGCAATCCAAGAGTGAGCTACCTCAGGAGGCCGCCATGCCGACACACTACGCAGGCAGCCGTGATCTCGTTAGCATGAGGCTCAAACATCTGTCGCTGGGACTTGTCGCCAGGTTGGGCGAATTTGATGCCTGGGAACTGGCAACTCCAGCCGCCATCACTGCCGCAGTGGACGCGGCCAAGCCCGAGGTGCAGCGGGCAGTGAGCCTCGACAAGCACAGCTTGTGGGACAAGCCGATGTCGGTGGCAGCAGCGCAGCGCGCGTTCGCCTTCTCGCGAGAGCGTGCAGCGCTCACAAGAGCGGCGCAAGCTAGTTCCAAGCGCTCCGAAGCTGTGATGCCCCCTTCCATCAATGGCAAGGTGGTCACCCGTTTCCTGAGGAACGGCAAGGCGCTATGCCCCAACTTTCAGTTGGACGCCTGCCACGTGGGCGAGGGGACCTGTGGTGAAGCCCACCTTTGCGCCATCGTGCTGAAGACTGGCCGTGCCTGCGGAGGGAAGCATCCAGCTCAGGCTTGCTTGGCAAAGCGCTATGTGGTGGCCGAGGACGTCGAGCACACCCCTCTGGCGAACGTCGCAGTGCCCAGCACCGCAGATCGAGCCAGTCGCTCTCCCCGTGGCCGACGCCCCTGAGGCTCCACATCGATCATCATCGCCAGAGAGCACCTCCAGTGAAGATGAGTCCTCAGCAGGCCCTCGCTCCCCGAGCGCGTCCCCGAGTCCAGTCCCTGTTCCCAAGACCAAGAAGCCGCGCACCGTGCCACCCCCGGACACTGAGGCAGTACCCTCTCCAGCGCAGCCCGTGGCGCCCAAGGCAATGCCGCCCTCGGTGGCAGCGACAGCTGCGGCGCCCAAAGCCTCGGAGGTCATTCCACCATGGCGAGCAGCAGCAGCCGAAGCAACGGAGGCTCCCAGCGACATCTTCGAGATGCCCGGGCCCCCGGCCGCGTTCACACCCAATGTGCACGACCAGCGGTGGGACCGCTTGGCCACTGTGCGGGGGAAGAGCGCGCAGGCACCGACCAAAGTGCTGTCCGTCCAAAGTGGCGGCACGTTGTGGTTGGGTGGATTGCCTACGAACCGGTCAGCATCAGCCTTTCCATCCGTCACTCTTCAAGTGGCATGCATGCTTGAGGAGCCTTCGCAGCGGGGTGGCATTTGCTTGCAGGGAGCGACCCTGCGCAAGTTCGCTATCGCCCACCCTGATAGGCGAGACGAGCAATGGCGCGACCTGTTTCCGCTCCTGTGCAATACGTTGTGGGGAGGTGAGGATGTGCTCCTCCACTGCATTAGTGGCCGGCATCGCGCGGCGGGTACCGCGTGTATGATCCGAGCCATTCTGCTCCGGGAGCGCTTTGAAGCAGCTTGGGACTACTTGGCAAGTGTGAGGGATGTCGACATCCAAGGCTTGCTGAGAGACAGGGCCTTGGCTGGTTGGATCCATGAGACCCTTCGCACATCTAGTCTGGGCAATGCCTGGCCCCGGCCAACCGGATACATCGCGACCGCCCGCAGTCAGCTGCACATCCAGGGCCAGAAGGGCAAAGGGCGTTTGGCAAACCCATCGAAGTGTACCTCGAAGATGGAGGCGATTGCCTGGGGCAGGCCAACATGCCAAGTTTGTGCCAATAGAGCACCAGCCTCCTGGATCCCTTGAGGAGGCTGTGGCACCTGTTTTCATCTTGTCGCACAGCGACACATAAGAGCAGCTAGCCCCCTTTTGGCGATGGAGTGATCCGTTGCCCGTGGCAAGCTTGACCAAGACAGCGTGAAAACAGAGTGCAGTCTCCTGACAGGGGCATTCGGCGAGGGGGGAGTTTCGCCTAGGCGGATAGGATCGAGGTGCAGGGATAATTGACCGAGCCGCAGAAGCATGTCCATGAGGACGTCGTTCGGTCTGTCCCTATGTCTTCCTTCCCCCCCGTCTCCGGACTCGTCACGGCCGTAGTCACTGTGCAGGAGGAGAGGGACTCCTCCGAGCGGGCAGCTTTGGCTTAGGCGCGTGGGAAGGGATCCCCGAGACAGCATGGCTA